CAGCCTCTCTCCATCCTCTTTGGAACCTCCCTTTAGGAAGTTAAAGGCTGCTATCAAATCCCCCTTCACTCTTCTCTTCTGCAGACTAAATAAAACCAAATCCCTCAGCCTCTCCTAATAGGTCATGTGCTCCAGTCCCCTAATCATTTTGGAGAGGATCCAGCAGAGGGCAACCGATGTGTCTACATCCTTTCTGTAATGGGGGGGGGGGGGGGGAGAGAGTGGGGCCAGAATTGGATGCAGTACTCCAGATGTGGCCTCACTAGTGCTGAATAAAGGAAAATAATCACTTTTCTTGATCTGCTGGCAATGCTCCTCCTAATGCATCCCAATATGTTCTTTGTCCTTGCACGCTGTTGATTCATATCCAGCTTCTCATCCACTGTAATCCCTGGTCCTTTTTTGCTGAACTGCTGCCAGTGTGGTCCCAGTCTGTAGCCGTGCATGGGGTGGTTCTGTCTCAAGTGCAGGTCTCTGTACTTGTCCTTATTGAACCTCATCAGATTTCTTTTGGCCCAACCCTCCAGTTTGACTAGGTCACTCTGGATCTTATCACTACCCTCCAATATATCTACCTCTCCCCCTAGTTTAGTGTCATTTGCAAACTTGCTGAGGGTGCAATCTATCCCCTCACCCAGATCATTAATAAAGGTGTTGAACAAAAAGGGCCCCAGAACTGACCCCAGGGACACTTGACACCGACCATCAACCAGACATTGAACCATTGATCATTACCATTTGAGCCTGACAATTTAGCCAGCTTTCTGTCCACCTTACAGTCCATTTATCCGATCCATACTTCCTTAATTTGCTGACAAGAATACTGTGGGGACCCTATCAAAAGCTTTGCTTTTAATAAACCATGTTATCTTATCAACCGTGTTAGCTAGATTGTCTTCAGCAGGGGTAGAAATGTGTAACTTAGGAAATTTTAGTTCTTTCTTTAGACACAGAGGGCTCATCTAGACTATGCAGAATATTTGAAAGAGGATATGCAAATTCTGCAGGAATTTGCATATCTTCTTCTGATTGCACTTTTGAAAGCACCTCCTTCCCCCCACCCTTTTTTTTAAAAGCCACGTAAGCCTCATTTTTTGAGGAAAACCGGCTTTTCAAAAAAGGGGGGGTTGCCGAAAAAGCTTTGTCCCAACTACTTTAAACGGAAGAAGATATGCAAATTCCTGCATAATTTGCATATCCTCTTTTGAATCTTCGTAGTCTAGACATAGCAAGAGTGGGTGAAGTAAATTTTACTGGACCAGCTTCTGTTGATGAATGAAACAAGCTTTTACAATCTGTTACCTTTCCTATCTTATCACTCTATCTGAGACCAACATGGCTACAACAACACTGCATAGCCTATATATATAATATGAAATGTGTATAATCTGTTGTGGTTTGGGGAATATTTTATCCTGATTGGTTTTTTCTTAATGTTAAACCTGTTTTCCGTGTTTGTTTTTAGAAAATACTTGTTGCAGTTACTCTTTGTAGTTTACTTTAATATCATCCCTGATAGGGATGTAAAATCCTGGTTAAAAGTTAACCAGTTAAATGTAATGTTTAAGGGGTTAAGTGTGATCCTGCAGCAGGGGGGCTGGACAAGGACTGCCATGCCATGGTTGGAGGATTGCTCCGGCCTGGCAGGGACTTCCACACCGCGTTTTGGGGGCTACTCTGGCCATGCCTGTCACATCGGCCGAGGGGACTAGAGAAAATGACCCCCCCCCCCCCCATACCAGGTAACCAGTTATCCCTTTACATCTCTAATCCCTGTCGCTTTTTAGCCTCTTAAGAGGAGGAATCTGAGATGGGTATCCTTGCTTATGTGCACATCTTTGCCAATACGGTTTTATTTTTTTAAGTAAGAACTGATAGATCAGAAGTTGTATAACAGTACACATGAAGTAGAATATTTAGATTAACTATGTACATGTATGGGATCACAGATGAAATTGTACTTTTCGCCTTAACTTTGCCACTTGCTGATCTGACTGCTTACCTGTGCAACCCTAATGTTTTATTAAAATTTTATTGATTTTAATTTACTACTTAGCAGAATAGACCAGGGGAGAGGGTAATGAAATAGCTAGGGATTGTGGTGGTGGTGGGGGGGGAATAAGAAAAAAGGCAAAACAGAAAAGAGATGTCATTGGGCAAGAAGAGTCAAGACAGGATTCTGGGGGAGGGATGTATATTTGGGGTCAGGAAAAACAGGCATGTTGAATCTAGTTCTCTTCTCAGTTGTATATAAATCAGGAGTCCACTCCCATGAAGTAACAGGAGTTTTACTAGTGTAAAATGGGTATAAAGTAAGCCCATTGGATTTACTTTTTTTAAAGGCGCATACTATTTTTAAATTATACATTCATGGCTAATCTATGTTTGGTAGCAGAAACTATGGAATCAGGCCTTAACAACTGAAATGGCAGTTTAATACATTAAAAATGATAGTTTCTGAAATTAAAAATCAGTTATGCGAATACATTACCAAAATATAATTAGAATGCACTGTTTGTGACATTAATGCTGTACGAGGAATTGTGGGTTATTCCAACTAATATAAAGTTATTTGGAATCTCTAGTACTTCCCTGCCTAGCATGGTAGGGACTTTGAGGTCTGCCTGCGATCGGTGTAGCAGCCAGGTGAGAGCAGGAGTTTCTCTGGTGCCTTATCATAGAATCTTAACACTAGAACTAGAAGGGACTTCGAGAGGCCATTGAGTCCAATCCTCTGCCCTGCTGGCAGGACCATGCACTGTCTAGATCATCCCTGAACCTCCTAGGCAATTTATTCCAGTGTTTAACCACTTTGACAGGCAGAAAGTTTTTCCTGATTGAATCACAGAATACTAGGACTGGAAGGGACCTTGAGAGGTCATTGAGTCCAGTCCCCGGCCCTCATGGCAGGACCAAATACTGTCTAGACCATCCCTGATACACATTTATCTAACCTACTCTTAAATATCTCCAGAGATGGAGATTCCACAACCTCCCTGGGCAATTTATTCCAGTGTTTGACTACCCTGACAGTTAGGAACTTTTTCCTAATGTCCAACCTACACCTCCCTTGCTGCAGTTTAAACCCACTGCTTCTTGTTCTACCTTCATTTCATTTCTCAACTTGGCATCTTCAACGCGTAAGAAATCTATCCTGATATTCTGGGCTGACAATATAGACAAGAAAATGAGGTGGAGTAAATGATGGATTCATCACTTCCTTACTGCCAGAAATTTAACTTTCCTTTATATTCCTTTCTAAATTTCAACAGCATCAACAATAGAGCAATGTGACTGAAGTTTAGCTGAGGCTACAGAAAGAGGGTTCAGTATATTCAGCATGTGTTCTACATTTCTCTACAGTCTGATGTTGTTGACTACTTCAGCTGTTATACATCTGTGCTGTCAACAATGCGATCAAGTTAGTTTTAAATAAATCCCTGAAAGAGTCAACCACTAATATCATTGTACACCTTGTGTCAGAACTGGCTTGGATCCTTCTGCTCTCCTCAGCGAAGCTGTTAAATGAAAAATGTATCCCTTTTTCTGGAGGTGTATTCTGGCTAAAAGATTAATCAACTGAACATTATATCCCTAAATTATACATTTCAGGGTCCCTGTTTCATCTAGATTATCTTCTTTGCAACATCTGTCAATGAAATGTTCGCTCTGAATAAGACAAAAGGAACAACACCACATAAATGAATCAAGCAATCTCACCACCAGAGGAGTCTAGATGGAACTGGCTAGTCCCGATTACCAACACATTCATGATTTTTCTGGATGAAGAAGCTGGTCTTTTCATTCAGGTAATTTACTGTCTGATGAACATTTAGTTGCAGCAAACTAGTAAAACCAGCAGATTACTCTGAAGCTGTAGATGGTATATTTTCACAAACCCCTACTGTCTAACAAAGTGTAAGTTACTCATTGAGTAATACTCAGTGCATTGCTTTAAACAAACCAACCCAACTTTCTTCCCCAAAAACAGTACAAATGAAACATACTGAAGCTGCTTGTACCACTCTTTAAATAATTATTCCAAACCTAGTTTTATAAGAAAATGGAAATTATCCAAATCTATTTAAAACCCATTTTTAGCAAGGTTCAGGTAGCTTGAAAAGAAAAGCCCCTTTAAAAATGTGACACTACATATAACTTGGACCCTGGCACAGTAGTTAAACTAACTGGTCTGTAGTTCCCTGGGTTGTTCTTATTTCCCTTTTTATAGATGGGCACTATATTTGCCCTTTTCCAGTCCTCTGGAATCTCTCCTGTCTCCCATGATTTTCCAAAGATGATAGCTAGAGGCTCAGATATCTCCTCTATCAGCTCCTTGATGTCCAACCTAAACCTCCCTTGCTGCAATTTAAGTCTATTGCTGCTTCTCCTATCCTCAAGGGGCCAAAGAGAACAATTTTTCTCCCTTCTCATAACACCCTTTTAGATACTTAAACTTAGATACTTATGGTGGGGAAAGTGTCAAGCTGTATCTGCTGCTACAGAAAACCCTGTGACCTCTGAGACCTGGACACCCTGCTGTACAAGCAGGATCAGCTCCAGGAAGGAATTTGATGCAAGCCACTTGTAGACAAAAGTAAGGTGATTTAAAGCTAGCTTGAGGCCTATGGGACAGATTCTTGGCCTATTTTTAAGCACTGAGTAGTTCTATGTTGCTTCCTTAAGTCATCCCTAATATGTGAGTATCTAAATCAGCCTTTTGTATATCCTATTTAATGATTGTCATATCATCAAGGCTTTCGTTGCCTAGCTATTGTTATGCAGTTTTTCATTATTGTAGCGCTATTGCTGCATTTAATGCTTCTCTCTACCAGCTACCAGTTTGATTGACCTAAGATAAATGAGGAAGGTGAAATATTTTATGCTTACTAGAAGTTTTGATGCTTATATAGAAAATATTCTCAATTGCTTCCCTTTCAAGTTAAAACTTATTATTGTATTGAACTTTTACATGTAATATTGTGCTTTTTATTTGCTAGGTTCTCTCCTATGGGTGTAGATCACATGAGTGGGCTTTCTGGTGTAAATGTTCCAGGAAACGCATCTTCTGGCTGGTGTATCTTCATCTACAACCTTGGTCAAGATGCTGATGAGGGAATCCTCTGGCAGATGTTTGGTCCCTTTGGTGCGGTTACAAATGTGAAAGTCATTCGAGATTTCAACACCAACAAGTGCAAAGGTTTTGGTTTTGTGACCATGACAAACTATGAAGAAGCTGCAATGGCCATAGCAAGTCTTAATGGCTACCGCCTGGGGGACAAAATCTTACAGGTTTCCTTCAAAACCAACAAGTCCCACAAATAACTTGCTCGTGCTTTTTGTATGGAATAGATAATTGAGTGACAGAAGTTTAAAAACATTTTTGTTAGTGTAAAACTCATTTTGCGCCAATTTTCACAAGTGTTTGTCTTAGTCTAAATGAGAAGTGAAAAAGGTTTTTATACTCTGGGATGCAACTGACATGTTCAAATGTTTGAAATCCCACACGTTAGACCAATTTTAAGTTCCTTAAGTTATTTCATTAAAAATATATATTAAAAAAAACCCCATAAACTCTTAAGTAGATTGCATTAATTAGACCCTCTAGATGGTGGTAAAATTGACGCATGCTTTCACTTATGAGACTAACATTTCTTCTGTTAAATGTTGTCTACAAAAACTGGAACTTTTAAAAAAAAATTTTTTTAAACTGTCAAGTGGATGCTGTTAGTATGGTTCTTCTCCCCAGCCCCCAGTTCTCTGATGGGGGAGGAGGGAAAGTTGAGAAATATTGATGTTTTAGTTAGCACTACTTTGCTTTATAAAGTAATTTTCATTGCTACATCTAGTTGAGGATTAGACTTCATAGCATGAAGGTCTTATAAGTAGTAGCATGCCAGCATAACTTTTAACACCATTGATGAGGTAAGTTGCACACTGAACTGTTGTCAAATTAAAAGGTTTCATAAAAAAAAAGCCCAGTTTTTCATAGGAATGGACCAAAGAGTTTCAGAGAAACTTGGAAGGTTTCAGAGTCAAAACGAAACTCCAAAAGCAGTATGAATATGTTTCTACTTGATCAAACTGAATTTCTTCTGTCCAAATATTTAATGCATAGTGCACTACTTACTGGTACATTGTAATGCGGAAAGATAATTATTCACTTTCAAAGATCATTATAGTTGGAATTCCTAAGGATAGTTCCATTTTGTAAAAACAGTTATAAACATTTGAGCATTGTGTTTCTCGCATCCCTTCTAACGAGTGTTAGATTTTTCTATTTTAATAGGATGTTGTTTTGACAACTAGCTTTCCTTATTGAACACTCAGCAGAAAAGTACGTACTTCTTGCAAGTTAGATATTAACAAAAACTGATTTGTAGATTTAAAGATTAGTCCCTAAGTTTTCTGCAGACTGCCTTGAAAATTTGAGTTGTTCTGTTTCTGTTAATTTTCTTTTGCTTTTTTGTGTTTTTTGTTTGTTTTTACTTTTGCATTTGAGACCATTAAATTTGATTTTGTTTTGCTCAAATTTTGTTTTGTTTTTTATTTTATATTTTTTTGCCAACTATTGCACATTGTCCAATATTAAGAGTAATGCTTTAAAGTATATAGATCATTAAAATTTAAAATTTGTTAATCTGTCTTTTTGACAGATCTGTAGGAGAAAATATTTGTGTAAAAACAAAAGCATTATAATAAATCTGTTGCATAGAAAGTATGTGCCAGACACTGAGTGAAACACACGTATATTACTGTGTAGACAAATGGAACAATATATCTGTGTTGTCTTCAGAGTCTGGAGGAAATGCAGAAATTGGGATGACTTGTCAGCAATTATCTTTTGAGTGAACCTTTACCAATTCCAAGACGTAGTTACTTCAGATTCTGGAGGCAGTTCTGTGCAGAACTTTTGTGTGATGCCCAAACATTTTAGGATCCTGTCTTCCATCGTTACTCTGATTTCTCTTTTTTCAGCATCAGGAGATGGAGTCCTGTGTTGCCCCTAGAATTCTATGATCTCCTTTTCCGTACTTCATTTTTTGGTTCTTTACACTTTCTTCAGTGAGCTGTTGGCCTTTCCTTTAATGTGCAGCAGGCACCTTTTGCGGTTGTTTACTACTTCAGTGGTTGGCTATTTTGTGGTTGTACACAGCTTTTCTCTACTGGCTTCAGAAGGGCCCAGAAAAGAGCAGACCTCTTTTGTAGGTTCTCTGGCAATACTAAATGAGCTGCCCTAGCTCCAGTGCAGTGTATTTAAGTGCTTTCTGCTGCCTAATGTGCGCTGCCTTTCCTTTTTGCTGTTCCCATGTAATCCATGCTCCAAGAAGTATAGTCAGTATCAGATAGTTGTAGGATAATGTTCTCTAAAACCAGCAGCTGCCATTAGGTAAAAGGTAGAGATTTGGCCCTCTGTGAACTCTTCATTGGGCTGGCTCCTATTTCCACTGTTTCCAAACCATCATTCATGCTTCCTTCCAGTGAGCCATATTTTCTTGTATCCTGTAGCTAGTTTGGGGTATTCAGCGGCCTTGCAGGGATTGCTCTACCCATATCTCCCATGTTAGATCTGAGATTCTTATGTAAAGTCCTCTCATCTGTCCTGTCAACATTTTTACCAGCCCTTGACTCCTTCACTAGAGGTCATCTATAAAGATCCTGGAGTCTTTCTTGTAGCTCCTTTCATCTCAAGGCTCATTAAGAAACATTTTAGCAGAACAGGGCAGCTGCAGTAAAGGGTTTGGTAGAGAGCTGCACAGGCCAGTCTTTAAAATGAGATTATGATGCCTCTATGATATTAAACCATTCAAATGGCTCTGGCCCATGCAGTCATATCAAAAGCTTCATTGATGTGAGTTTGCCAAACCCTGCTCTTAAAGAGTAAAGGCAACTCTCTCCATTATCCTTGAAGACTTTGACATAGCTCTCCATTGTTGGCTGCTTCGTGCAATATACTGATTTTTTTCTTACATCTTTGCTCAGTAAGCATGAGATACAACTTCCTGGTTTCACACTTGGACTCTATTTCTAGGACTCATCTTATCCAAGGTTCCTTAAACAGTTTTGTGGGGAATGCTTAATCTATCAGCGAGGCCATTCACCCACGCAAACTACAACTCAGCTAGCTAGGAGAAAATTGGGGAGAAGAACATTTGTTTAATTCCTTAGGGGATCATAATTAGCCAGACAGTAAGGCTACACATTTCTCTTTCAGTTATCCAGGTTTAGGAGCCACTTTAAGCTCAGTCTCTGGCTAGATATAAAGTCTTTTTTGTTGCTGTCCCTAAAAATTCCAGTCTGACTGCACAGGTGGAGGCCTATGTTCACTTTTTTTTATAACTAACCAGATGGGTAATTCTGACCCATACCAGGCCTGCTCTCTCTCAATCCCTGTGTTTCCATCCTGAATTCTGCAGTCTTTAATCTTATTAGAATTGAGTGTAATCAATTATTTCTTCTGTTTGGTGTGTCTATCATTCAGCACGCTACACACTTCTCACTTTCTACCTGGATCATCAACACTTCCAGCATTGTAGTTACATGTTTTGTTCATACACAAATTCTTCAGGCCTTAATTTTGTATAAGATAGTTGGAAAGGTGCCTCAGCATAATTTACTTTTTCTCCAGGTTCAGATATCACTCAGGAGGTGTAACGTAAAAAATCCTTATTGAAGGGAAATTTGCTGTTAAAGTAATGTTTCCAGGATAATTCTGTCATCAGAATTACAAGGTTTCAAAGGATGGAGCTTGCACTTGTCACAAACTGTGTCAAGGTTCTTGTCCAACAAAGCTAAAGAAGAATCTGACCATCCTGGAATCAAGGACAGTGGGTCTGGCGGGCAGAGGGTTTCCTTCATTACATCTCCTCACCAGCCATTCTGAGAGAACAAATTTGGCAGTTTATATAATCTCGAAAAATTAGTCAGTTTAAAATTCAAATTCACTTTTGTTCTAGGCAACCTGCATACTAAAAGGAACTGGCAAGTGAGAACATCAGTAACACAAACATTTTCCATGTGGGTCAACCCACAAATGGATCTGTTTGCTTCATTTAATAGTATTCAGCTACTCCATTTTCTCCCAAACACAGAGATTCCTGGCTTTTGAAAGGTGGATTCCTTTTCCTATTGGTAAATGCAGTTGTTAGCATTTGCTCCTGCAAATCTTTTGATAGTTGGTCCTCCTTCAGAACTTTGGGCACTCATCTCAGCTGATATTTCTTTCATTCCCTCTAGGATTTCTATAATCAGAGTTGATGAGTAGTCTTAGTCTTCTGCAGATGTGTCTGCTTCTCTTCATGCCACTCTGCTCTCCATCATGAAATTTAGGTTGGATGGGAATCTTTGCATCCTTCCTTATGTTTTCCTCTTCTTTCTATTTGTATTTGTCTGTCTTGCCAAGCATCTCTTGTGGCTCTTGCAGCTCTTGCTCCAATTAGGCTGTTACAGGACCAGAATTTGGATGCTAAACACGTTGTCTGCACAGGACTGCATCCAGAATTTGACATGGGCATTGCTGCTGGAGTTTCACTCTAAGATGAGACCTTTTTATAGGTAAGGCAAAAGTATCCTAATTATAACCATGAAATGACGTCTGAAATTCTATGAAAATGTTCTGGGCATTAGCTATTGTTACAGACATTTTAAATATTAAATATTTTTAATCTGGTAAAATTCAATGTTTTCAAAAGAAGTCAAATTAATTGGAAAAGTATTCAGAAATTGGTTTTTTCCAGTTTTTTACTTGTATTATATTAATATAAGTAATATTTATTAAACCTTCCAACAATCCATTTTCACTTACTTTGCAAGATCCCATATGGATGGAATTCACCCTTGTGTAGGTGGTTAACAAAGCCTGTGTGCCACGTTAGCCTTCCATATAGACTTGTGTTGGCATTTGCACAGGGAGAATTTCACCTTTAAAAAAAAAAAAAAAAAAAAAGAAGCTATGATGTGCTTTTTTACTAGATGCAAAGATAAATACAGCTCTTTCACAGGAGTTGGCAGCAACAAAATAATACAGAGAATCATGAAAGCTATGAACTGAGATGAAGTAAGCAACTTGTCATAGTGTTTTTAGTCTGTTCCAAATACATTGATCCCTTAATTCTCCTATTTGCAAACTGTTCCCATGATCTCTAGAGTAAGTAGAAGGGTATTTTTAACCTTGAAGCTATTATATTTAGGTTAATTTAGAATCCTGTGCCTCCACTTTAATATGAGGTCGAGGTGGGAGGGGGACAGAATTAAGCCAAAACAGTCATGCTGCCTCCTCCCCTATAGTGTATGTCAACCTCTCTTCTTCCATTCTGTTGGTTTGGGACTGTGAAGTATTTCAAGATCATGCTGTGGATGGAAGGGGAAGAGCAGGAGGCATCACTCACCAGGGCAGTATCCCCCTCAGTGTTGTCTAATTTTTTTTCTTTCCTCTTGGGTTTTTTTTTTCAGTACATCTGCATTATGATAGCATCAGAAAACACACTAATAATATTGAGGTATTCAAGTCATTGGAATAGGTTATGACTCTCACTGCAGTTAAATGTAGGTGATTAGTATATGGTCATTTACTATATTGCAAATGACCAAATGGCGTTGAATATCTTTCCTCTTTTCCACATTTGTTTTATAGGAGTTTACAAAGTTGTAGCAATGTTATTTGTACAAAGCAGTTCAAAGTTTTCAAATAAATTACTGTAGCAATTACTATAGAGACAACTTTTAGCAATTGAAATAAGTCTCAACTAAAATGTAGATATTTCCCGAAGTCCTAAAGTGGTTGAGATTCTTCAGAAATGTCAGAAAAGGGTCTCAGCTTCAGAATATTCTAAGCTGGAGTGATTAAAGTTAAATGTATACAGTTTTATAATAATAAAATATGTACTAATTAATTGTATAAGGGTATCCCCAAAAGTACTTGATTAGTTCTAACACATTTGCTTTTTGGAATTAGGGCGGCATATAATTACCTATAACATCTTATGTAGTTTGTAGAAACTTTTAAAAAATTCACAACTTTTTAATGAAATATTGGTGATGTCCTGGTTTTCCATAATTCTTAAAACACAGAGCACGCCCTTCACTTAGGACTTTGTCATAATACTACCTCTGATATAAGGTTACTGAAATATTACTTCCAAAATGGGGAAGTAAGTTTGTAACATTGTTGAGCAAGCACCTTATTACACTGTTTCTATTTTTTTTTTGGCTCCTAATAATTAGTTTTTGAGTGAAGGGACCACATTCACGCTAAGCATGAATGGGCTCACCTCCATTTAAGTCAGTGGAGTTGTATTCATTTAGTTAAGGACCCAATTTATCACTTTTGTACCACAGTTTCTTTAATCTCTATTTCATGGCAGAAGAATTTTCTGCTGTGCTAAATGAAGGTTCCTTAATATTGTGTCTACACTTCTTGTTTATGCTGGGAAACCTCAGCACTGTAAGATTGATATTGATCAGAAGGCTAAGCATTGTAATCTATAGTATATGCTACTGGGTTTCTACTATATTATGAAAATACATGGATTTCAAAGAAAACACAATGATCCCGCTCCCCTTTTTAAATTGAGATTTTCATGTAATGCACAACTTAATTTGTCCAAGGTATAACCAATGGAATTGAAAATTAAAGTTTAACGTCTCTAAATTTCTTGTCTTAGTTCTAATCAGGTACAGCTTTCTGTAGGCTTTTTATAGCATTCATATGTAGTATTTAATGAAAAGTTGGGTGTATATTTTCCCCTGTGCATGGTAAAAACACAATTGATGTTAAAGCTTTTATGATCTCTAAGACAGAACACAAAGCACCGAGTGGCTTTGCCTTTAAAACCTATTGTTGCTTTGTTCAATCTTGCTGCAATTCTTTGTTGTGTACTATACTTGGTAAACAATTTACCGGAACAATTTTAACTAGAAATATTTTTCTGTTGAGTGGAATTTTCGACACTTAAATTCTTTTGTTGCTGTGATGATGGAAATTCAGTAATAGTGGAACAGCCACCTTGAATTCTTGTGTTCACATTTTAGAAACTTCATTCTCATATTAATTATTGTTCCCTATTTTTAAACTTTTAAACAACTTTTCAGTGATATAGCTAAACTTTTTCACTTGGTCATTAAGAAGAAAATTACTTGAGACATTTGAAGCATCATAAGTTGGGATAAACCTTTATTTGACCAGTAAGTTTTAATATTGTACTTCTAGTCTCCTTACTGATTTTATTTCTCTTAACTTATGTAACATTTTGTTTAAAAGTAATCTGTTTGTGGGACAGAAGGCTTTATCAGTTGTTTCCCATACTGTACAGTATATCGTTATCATTTTGTATATTAGTATGCTTTTAAGTTATTGATTTGTTTTATATCAAATAATTTATTTTTCAGGTACCATTTTTTTCATTTTAACTTTGTTTTACATGGGTTTATTTAAAATAAAGTATGACACTGCTTTCCAAATGTCTAAAATGAAGTTGCATCCCATTGTGTTATTTTGAGTGTTTATGTAATTAGTTGAGTTTAGTAGTTTCAGAAATGTACAAAGTCCAACTTCAGTTTGCATAATGATTCATATTCTTGGATTTTTTTTAAACGACGAAACTAACTATGTTCAAGAACACTGAATCTTTAAAGGTCCCATTAAAGGAGAATCAGTTTTATAGAACCCTGTGGATGGAGTTACAAGCATTCTGTTTTCTAAATGGTATTCTCAAAATTAATAAAAACCACAAAAATCTTTCATTCCATTTTCAGAATTTTTAAAAATACAAAGTAAATAATATGTAACAGGATTTTTGTTTTTTACCACATTTTCATTACTATTTTTATTAAACTGTTCAAAACTTCATAATGTTAGTGATTAAATTATAATGAAAAGTAATGTATTTTTAAATATAAACTAACAGTTAAGGATTTTACGTAATTTTTACTGAATTGTTCAAATACTTACCTGTTTTCTCCACAGAGGTGGGATTATTGTTGTACACTGTGCATTAACTGATTGGAATAGTGACATTTTTTCAGAAGTATTTAAATTATGTTCATTTATGAAATGAGAAAATCAGGGAGATACTACAGTACAGATTTTGAGTACTTGTAATGTTATCAGCAGAGAGGGAATTGAAATAAGGAATGTGGTTTACTTTTTACTTTTTCAGGAAAAATGTTGGGTGTTTTCTCTGCCAAATGATGATGTTTACATTGACAGAAAGATGTTTATTTTAACCAGATTGTAGCTTGAATTGCAAATCTGAATGTAAACATTTGAATTGGAGTGTTCTACCTGCAAATGAGAACTTTCTATCCAGACTTCAAATCAAATGGGAAGGTGAAGTGAACTTCAATTGACTTTTCCCTGTCTCATGTCTAAATGTTGCCTTTTCCTAGAAGTAGTGGTAAGATCTGGTTTTACATTCAGAAGATTTTATAAATTTTGGTAACAGAGGCCATGAACGTTTTTGGTTCATTGAGTAGAACAGTATGTGTTCTGTCCAGCTGAATCTCAGTGCCCTGCTTTCATTTGTTCCCTGTATCTTCTGTGTGTTCAACTGACACATTCATTTTCCTTCATTAATTCACTGTCAGAAAACCATGCTCTCTGAGGCCAGCATCTGGTGAGGTTTAGCTTACATCTTACGCTAACATTATTCTTCAGCCAGAGAAATCATTCTTTTTGATTGATGATAGGGTCTGGGAAGGTGAGCAACCTTGGGCTACTTTTGTTTATCCTATGCTGTTACTGTGCCAAGGGAATTCTTTCCTACATTCCTGCAGTCCTTTCCTGGCCTTGATATGGATGCTCAAGGAGCATTCAGGAGCTTCAGGGGGTAGCCGAGTTAGTCTTTTACAGAAAAAAAAAACCTCCAAGCAAATGGTCTGGTAGCACTTTAAAAACTAACAGAACATGTAGATGGTATCATGAGCTTTCGTGGGCACAGCCTACTTCTTCAGATGACCAGAGTTATGATTAGAGGATAAGGAAACTCGAAATAAATAGGAGAAGGAAACGAGGTGGGGGGGGGAGGGGGGACAGAAAGACGTTCTGTCACCCATCCCCCTTACCTCTATGTATAAAGTATCAGGAGAGAGGGTGCTAAACCTGAGTAGATAAAGATCGAAGTCAGTAGATGGATAAAGGCAGGAAGCATACCATTCAGAAAGTAGTTAGCACCTTCATTGATAAAGATTCCACCACCCCATATCTTGATTAAGTCCACAATTAATTGAATTGAATTTGCATATGTATTGTAATTCCAAGCTTTCCCTGTGGATCATTCAGATGCTGTGACAGGGAACACAATATATTCCAATTGGTTTAAGGAGGATCAGCTGCAAGCAATGAAGATAAAACAAGATTAAACATTTTCAGATAGCAACTCAATAGCAATGGATTGAGGAATGCCCCAGATCCTATTTTTTTATTAGTCAGTAACTTTTTCTATAAATTCTAATTTAGGGCAAAGCAGCACGTCTTTAATCAAGTGTTCCAGCTAAAGCTCCTGTAGAAATCCAATATTGTATCTTGGATTTTATTTTTTGCCTGCATAGTATACTGTTCTAAATTAACCATTTTACTTCAAACAATCTAGTTTAACTCAGATGTCAGGTTCAGTTTGAGGAGCTTTTATTGTAAAGAAAATTTTTTCCAATGAGACGTTAGCAGAGGTGTGTGGTAAAGAAATGGTTTAAGATTGCTGTTGTGCTAATTTAACTGCTTCTAAACTAGTTCGGAAAAAGGATACATTTTGATGAAAAGTGAAGAAAGAACATATCTATTCCTGACATTATAAATTCTCTTGTATTTATGCTAAGATTAATGTGGAAAGGTTATCCCACACCATAACATGTTCCCTTTCTGCCTGATTTGGACAGCAAAAATAAAAAAATGAAGGTGCTTTAAAAGTTCTTCCTTGAAATCAAGAGATTGGGAAGGAGAGAAATTTTTTCTCTTGAAGTAGAAGCATCTTCTCTGTGGTGGACATTACTGCATAAGATTCCAAGTGAATACTCAAGGAAAAAAGATACCAGGAAATTGGAGGAAACAAAAGGATTTATCTCCTTTAAAGAAAATATTTACATATATGCACATACACAAGCAGAGTGACAAAAGCAATCAGGTGGGCAGGACCAGATGAAATGGTCCTCAGCTGGTTTCTGAAATAGCACTGGGTAGAAAATTAGTGGAGCTTCTATTATTGTTCTCTTAGGCTCCTCTGGGCGTCATGTGGCTGGAGTCTAATGGAAGGTCATCCCAGCTGATTCTCTGCAGCAGGTCAGGTGCCACCAGCTTTGAAGATCCTAGAAAGAAGCATGACGAGTCTCTTCCTCTCATAGGAACCCTGTTTCAAGAGAAACTCCATTTTGAAGTTAGTCTCTTTGTCTAGCCTAGAAGTTGTCTCCTTTGATTCCAGCAGTAAGCAGCCATTTGTGTCCAGAGGAGTATGTTAAGCTTAATTATTTTGTGTTGGCAATTAAAGAGTAAGTCAAGTAAGTAAGAGTAAGGTAAGTCATCCGCTTTTTGCCCTCCATGAGATTTTCCATTAAAAAGGGAAACAATTATCAGTTAGAATCAACTTGTGAAAGTGGAGTTTACTGCAACATATTGGATTAAGCTTGTCCAGGAACTGCATATGCGAAGAGAAAAAGCTCACCAGGAGATCTAAACCCCATTTAAATATGCTGAGCCCAACAAATGGGATTTAGATTTGTTTCCAGCGTTGTCTTTGTCTAAATTGTGTTCAGTGTTTTGTTACTCTTTGGTTATCAGTAGTATATGCTGATGTCTAACCTTCGAAAGCGTAGTGTGAAAATGCTAACTTCACAGTTTGCTCACTAACCTGATCACCATGACAAGCAGGAACAGCTCTGAAATCCCATCTTCCAAATGGATCAAAATTATCAAAAGCAACATACCTGATTCTGTGTCCCTGCAAACTGTTTAGTCATTACAGGCTGCCCCCAACTTGACGCGATCAGTTATTGGGATAGCATCGCAAGTCGGGGGTGTCAAACTTGAGCCCGCATTTATGACGGGCGTCATGCGCTGTCGTAAATGCGGGGCTGAGGACATAAGTCGGTGGATTTCGGCCTCTTTCTCACTTACAGAATGGGTTGTAAGTGTGGGGGGGTCGTAAATTGGGCTGTCGTAAAGCAGGGGCCTCCTGTAATACAAAGTAAAGATAAAACAATATCCACTGAGATAAATGATTACACAAAATGTAGACCAGTGGAGATTCTGCGCCTATGTCAAATGTAGGAGTGATGCCAGGAACCATGGAAGGAAAGCATGCTCGTAACACTCACTACTGCAGAGATTATGGGCTGCAGGTCCGTCTGAGTAAGGCTTCTATAAATTAGAGCTATTTGTTGGGGTTATGCTATTATGATCTGCAACCACCCTGAATTCGAAAGTGTAGTATAAAGCCTGATTCTGTGCGCCCCCATACATGTAAAGCCCTTCTCGTCCCATCATTCTCTTTCTCACAGACTGATTTTTCTGTGCAGTCTCTCTCAGGAGGTACAGTGTACTGCAGTGGTCCCCAACCTTTTGGTACTTCCGGGTGCCGCGGGGGCGGGACCACGCATGCACTGTGCGCCTGGGGCCAGCGACCCCTTGCGCTGCGCGTCCGGGGGAAGGGCTGACAATTCCCCGCACGCCCAGGGGCGGGGCCGCTTATAGCTGCGTGCCCGGAGCCAGTGCTCCCCATGTGCCGCGCGCCATGGGGTGGTGCTGCCCAGGGCCAGCGCGGCACATGGGGAGCGCACCTGGGACCAGCACCGCGCATGCACCGCGCGCCTGGGGCAGGGCATGAAACTATGGTTGCTTAATGAGAAAGGTAAGCATGTCAAATGAGAATTGGCAGTTGGATAAAAATGTAATATTTAAATTCCCTCCTCCTTTCATTGTTTTTAAATAAGTAATTGGGGAAGAAAAATACCCTTCTGAGTTTCCAAATCTCTGTATTTCTTTCCCACAACAAAGTCCCTTTAATGCAAAATGTCATCACTTTCTCTATCCTGATCATGTCCTTGTCCCATAAAGGAGAAAGCACTGTTGCTTCCTCAGGGACTCGGCAGCCTTTAATATAATTATTTTCAGCTCTTTTGGGCATCTTCTCCCTATCTTTGTCCCTTTCTAGTTTTACCAATGCTGCATAGACCTTTTTATAATCCTTTTTTTTTCTT